GATATTAAATATACCGTGGTTTTTGACTCCCAGCTGATCAGCAACTAGCACTGGGGCTCCGGGGGCACCTTGGCCAATCAGTGGCAGGAGGCAAAAAACTGTGGCATATTTAACACCGAGATTTTTGCCTCTGGCTGATCAGCAGCAAGCAGCAGGATCACAGGACCCCTCCACCAATGAGTGGTGGGAATGGGCAGGGAAGGGAGTGCACGGCAAAAAGAGCAAGGTTAAGATTAAGAGCCACTGCACATCACACTGCCACTGTGATTTAGGTAGCCCCCTACATATAGTAAACAGGCCTACTTTGTGCTCAAAGCCTGAAAAATGTAAGACGTTTCATAGTCTCAGAGTAAGGAAAGGGCACTAAATAATTATTTGGGGGGGAACCTGTTTTTACTTGAGGCCACCAGAAGAAAACTGATGGTCCTGAAAGACAAATTTTCATTCAATAAAGAATCCAGTGGGATAACAGAATCATATAAAATTAGGCCTGGAAGAGACCTCAGAAGGTCACACCTAGTCCAACCCCCCGCTCAAAGCAGGACCAGCCCCAGCTAAATCATCCCAATCAAAGCTTTGTCTAGCCTAGTCTTAAAGACCTCCATGGATGGAGCTTCCACCACCTCTCTGGGTAACCTGGTTCCAGTGTTTTACTACTCTCCTTGAGAGAAAATTCTTCCTAACATCTAACCTAAACTTTCCTTGCTACTTGAGACCATTGCTCCTTGTTCTGTCATCTGCCAGCACTGAGAACAGTCCAGCTCCATCCACTTTCCAACCCCCCTTCAGGTAGTTGAAGGCTGCTATTAAATCCCCTCTCAGTCTTCTCTTCCCCACACTAAACAGACCCAATTCCCTCAGCATCTCCTCATAAGTCATGTCCCCCAGCCCCCCATTTTTGTTGCCCTCTGTGGGACTCCAACCAGTCCACATCCTTTCTGTAGTGGGGGGCCTAAAACTGCACAAAGTACTGCACATGTGGCCACACCAGTGCTGAAAAGGGGAAGACTCACTTCCCTGCACCTACTGGCAACACACCTAAGGCAGCTCAGGATGATGTTAGCCTTCCTGGCAAGAAGGGCACACGGCTGGTGCATATTCATCTTATTGTCCACTGTAACCCCCAGGTCCTTTTCTGCAGAGCTCCTGCCCAGCCAGCCAGCCCCCAGCCTGTACCGGTGCATGGGATGGTTCCAGCCTAAGTGCAGGACTTTGTACTTGTCCTTGTTGAACCTGATGAGATTCCTTTCGACTCAATCCTCCAGTTTCTTTAGGTCACTCTGAATCCTAGTCCTACCCTCCAGCATATCTAATACTCTGCCCAGCTTGGTGTCATCTGCAAACTTATTGAGGATGCACTCTATGCCATCTTCCAGGTCACTGATGAAGACACTGAACAAAACAGGCCCCAGAAAAAACCCCTGGGGCACTCCACTTGATACCGGCTGCCAACAAGACATCAAGCCATTGATTAGTACCCTCTGAGCCCCATGCTCCAGCCAGTTGTCCATCCATCTTACAGTCCATTCATTCATTGCCTGGGAGAATGTTGTGGGAGAAGGCTTTATCAAAAGCCTTGCTAAAATCAAGGTATACCAAATCCAATGAGCCAGTCATCTTATCATAGAAGGCAATCAGGTTAGTCAGGCCTGACTTGCCCTTGGTGAATCCATGCTGACTGTTCCCAATCACTTTCTTCCCCTCCAAGTGCTTAGAAATTGATTCCTTGAGGATCTGCTCCATGATTTTTCCAGGGACTGAGGTGAGCCTGCCTCATCTATAGTTCTCTGGATCCTCTTTTTTCTCTTTCTTAAATATGGGCACTATATTTGCCTTTTCCAATCATCCGGGACACCTCCTGATTGCCATTTATTTTCAAAAAAGATGGCCAGTGGCTCTGCAATCTCATCAGCCAACTCCTTCAGCACCCTCAAGTGCATCCCATCCAGCCCCATGGACTTGTGCATGTCCAACTTTTCTAAATAATCCCCAACCTGTTCTTTCACCAGTTGGCTGATCACCTCCTCCCCAAACCGTGCTGCCTGGTGCAGTAGTCTGGGAGCTGACCTTGCCTGTGAAGACAGAGGCAAAACAGGCATTCAGCACTTCAGCCTTTTCTGCATCCTCTGTCACAAGGTTGCCTCCCCCATTCAGTAAGGGACCCAACACTTTACCTGATCCTCCTCTTGCTACTGACATACTTGTAGAAACCCTTCTTGTTCCCTTTCACATCCCTTCCTAGCTGCAACTCCAATTGCGTTTTGGCCTTCACGATTTCATCCCTGAATGCCTGAGCAATACTTTTATAATCCTCACTAGTTATTTGCCAAAGTTTCCACTTCTTTCTTGTGATTCAGTTTACTGAAGAGTTCCCTGCTAAGCCAAGTTGGTCTTCTGCCATACTTGCTAGTCTTCCTGCACATCAGGATGGTTTGTTCCTGCAAAGTGTTTAAGACTCTTGGCTTGATAACACTACGGACTACCAAGGCAGCCACATCAAGAAACTGAAATACAACTACCATCTGGCCTCCGCATGCCAACAATACACACACTTAGGTTAAATGATATGGACCAAGTCTTCAACTGGTATATATCAACACGGCTCCACTGGAGTTATACCAATTTGCAGCAGATGGACGATCTGGCCCTGTTTGCATTCATGACGGTCTGATACTGCTTCTAATATTAGTTAATAAGTAATTACTGCAAAAAACAGATTTTGAAGTTGTACTTGCGTGGGCCAACAGAGTGATACTGGGAAGAGTAATTTCTTACTGGTAAATTGGCTTCTTTCATGCAGCAGTATGTTATGTGTTCAAAGTGTAGTACAAGCATAACTAATTAAACTATAGCTCTATCATAGCAATTTAAAGCAAATATGGAAATAAATTGCAAGAAATTTATATTAATCAGGTTCAGGTCAGTGGTTCCCAGTGTGTGGTTGCCAAAACAGTTATAAGTTATCGCTATAGTTAGAAAGTTGGCTAGCTAATAATGTCTTTAACATCCAATCAGACAGTATCTTGATACTGGTTTTCCTTGTGTACATCTGTTAAGCCAGTGGGGGGCCAACCTTTTTGGCAGGTGTGCCACAAGTTCAGCTCCACACCTTCTCCAAGTGCCAACCGAATCCCCTTCTACTGCCTGCCCCATTGCTCAGCTTTCCACTCCCTACCCTGTGCTCCTAGCACAATCCACTGCCACAGAGCCGGACCTGTGGGGAGCCCCGAGGACCAGATAATGTTAGTATTTGAACAGAAGTCTTCAGTAATATTGGGTAATATTTCACTGGTGTGCCATATGTCACACCAGATTCACTGTGTGGGGTCAGTCCAATGCGCAGTGTCACGCCACAGCTGGATCCAGCACAGAGCAGGACCAGTGCACTGGTTCGCACCAACACACCAACCCTTCCTGGATCCAGCCCACAAAAGATCAAATCCCACCCACAGAATCCAGCCTGGAGGCTGGGCCCATGCCACTCATCCAGCCAGCTACAAGACTCAGCACCACTAAGCTAAGGCATTGTCTGGCATGAGGTTCCTAACATCTCTAGTTCAGGCTCCAATTTTCCATTTTGTTTTTCTGGTTTTGCTACCACTCACATTTTGAGGACTTCAGAAATCAGATCTGCAGGACAGGATGGAATGGTCAGTTTACAACTGTTGTATAAGGTGTAGAAGCCAACACATATAAAGTAACTGGTCATTAAAAAAGCCTCTGTAAACCCTATAGTAAACAAATGCAGACTCTGCTATAACAAGAAAGACAGATCGCACTGTTTATAGGCCACAATTTGAAGATCAGTTTTCCAAAAAATCGTATTATACACTTAGTTAGGCTGTTTTCTCATGTTACACGAGATCATTTTAATTCAGCATTTTTGAGAAATGTAATAATTTAAAAATTTTCTGAATTTGCATTTAACTTAGTAATTTACCTATATTTTTATACTTTTTTACATAATGGTTAAGTTATTTGGAGAGGCTTTTTAATTAAGAATGCTCTTTTATTAATGTTTATCATCAATCCTGTATGCATCTGAATTATAGAGTTTCTGATTATTTTCCTGACACTTACAAAAATGGTGAAATTGACACAAACTTCCAACATATTGTGTTTTTGCGTGTTTTAAACCCAATACATTTATACTTTGTTTTCTTCAAACATTACTTAAAGTCAGTTTTAATACAGCATGACAGCAATGATCTTTTTTATTTAAAATGTTCATTAATAATCCTTCAGATATTTAAATACTCAGCATTTTTATGCAAGATAAATTTCACAATTTCATAATTTTCACAAAAAATTGCATCCATCTGCTGGTCATGACACTAATAAGTATTAATCCAGGTTTCTACATATAGCCATTCTAAATGCTTATTGAGAAGCTTGCGAGTAACACAAAACTTGTACTGCAAGGATCTTTCTTGTGATAAGAGTAATACAAAACAAAAATTCCCTAAATAGCTGCACTAAAAAAGGAAAATGGGGCTCAAGTGGTATTTCCTATTTTTCACTTCTGAAAGCAGAACAATATGTACTATAGTTAAGCAAATGTCACTGTCCACATCAAAAAACATAATGAAAACAAAACACGCACACAAATTTGACACTACGGTAACAATTAAATTTCACAAAAGCATTGAAACTGTAAGAAAAAGTGTGTCACATCTATGATGGCATATCTAGATATGACATGCTAGTTATAATTTATGCAATTTATTTATTCAGCTAAGAGATGAAACTTGTACTGACCATTTGTCTTTTGAAATTGTTCAATTTATTTCAAAGTTGGGAAAACAGAATAATTTTGATCTGCAATATTTGGAGTGTTAGATAAGGTAACTCATCAGGGTGAGACAGTTGAAAAGATCTCCATTACTGACCTATTCAAAAGAAAGTGTTATTTCAAGTATTTAAGTATAAAGAAATCAAGCAAATGTTATATCTAATTAATTTACTAAATTAATGGTAGAAAGAATTTTAAAAAATAGTACCTTTTTTTCAGTGGGACTTGAAGTCTTTGAAACTAATGCTGCTTCGACAAGACCCTGCTCAAGTAAGGAGTCATATTTTATGCTTCTTTTTCTATTTCTCCGCTCCTTGTTTGCTGTTTTTTGTTCATTTTCTTCTGACTGGGACACTTCCGCACCATTGTCTCCACAAATGGAGGATTCAAATAAAGGTTTTCCATTCATGTAGGTTTTAGTGATTTTCAGCTTAATTTCTGGAGAGCCATTCTTGATAGGAGTAGTGTTGGGTGGTGTTCCAACTCCTTTTATTTCTTGAGGCTCAAAGCGCAGCTTGGCATCTTGGGCCCCAGATTCCCCATTAAACACACGAGAAGTTAGATCTTTCAATTTATCAGCTGGAATAAACGGGAGAGCATCGTGGCCATTATATTTTTGCATGACACCTTCCTGTAGAGTGGCAGAAAGCTGTGCTTTGCCCAAGTAGACAGAGCACTCACGATTCACTTCACAATTCTGTGTTTTCCCATTGGCATTTCCAAGGATCTCTGGTACCTGCTTCATTTTGATGTGGTTAATTTTTCGTGTTAACAGCGGAGAACTTCTTTTGACGCTAAAGTCCATTCAGCCTTGATGTTTCCAGTCTTACACTGCTATAGTAAAAACAAAAGAAGAGATGTTTAGAATGCAGAAAAATAAGAGTGAACACAAAGTAATTAATCGTCTTGTTAAAGATGCCCATATAGGTAATCTGCAATCTATACTTAAAAATATATTCCAATTTTAAGAATGAACACATTCTACCGACAGAGTTTCTGTTAGCACAGAAACTGCAAATGTAACCAGCAACACCAGGGGACTGCATGCTTAGAGGCAACCAACTCAGGTTCATCACTGGCAGGTCCTGTCAGACCAATCTGGTGGCCTTTTACGATCAGATCACCAGATCTTTAGATGCCGGGGTAGCAGTGGACATAGTCTTCCTTGACTTCCGGAAGGCTTTTGACACTGTCTCTCACCCCGTTCTCATTAAAGAACTGGGGGGCTGTAGCGTAGACACCCACACAGTCAAATGGGTCGCCAGCTGGCTGGAGGGCCGCACCCAGAGGGTGGTGGTGGATGGGTCCTTCTCAACCTGGAAGGACGTGGGCAGTGGGGTTCCGCAGGGCTCAGTCCTCAGGCCTGCACTGTTCAATATCTTCATCAGTGCTTTGGACGAGGGGGTAAAAAGCACCCTGTTCAAATTTGCTCATGACACTAAGATGTGGGGGGATGTGGGCACACTAGAAGGAAGCAACAGGCTACAATCTGACCTAGACAGGTTACAAGGGTGGGCGGATGAGAACAGGATGGGTTTCAACACAGACAAGTGCAAGGTGATGCACCTGGAGAGGAACAACCGGCACCATACCTACATGCTGGGGAACTCCCTTCTCGTCAG